TTGAAAAAGGGTTTAATCTTTTAGATTTTTATTTTCTTTCTTGTTAGGGACATTGAAGCAAATATAATTGAAAAGATTGCCAGAGATGTTTCAGATAAACTGAATGCTACACCGTCTAAGAATTTTGATGGTATGGTAGGACTTGAAGTTCATTTGAGGAAAATTCGACATTTGTTACAATTACAAACTGGTGAAGCTATGACCTTAGGAATTTATGGTCCTACCGGGATTGGTTAAACCACCATTGCGAGGGCTTTATATAACCAAATTTCTCGTGATTTCCAGCCTAGATATTTTATAGAAAATATTAAGGGAAGTTATAAAAATATCACTGGCGCCGATTTGTAAAAATCCCTATTTTTCTTCTTCAACTGTAAAAAACCTAAACTCTTGAAATGTTATCTCGTTTTATTTTTGTTTGTCCTTTAAATTTTGTTTTCTATTTTAATTCTAATTCAAATTTTTTTTTTTAATAAAACATATAGTAAAACAAAAATTTGGGTTTTTGGTAATTCTACAATAAAATTGTGTTAATCTAGTTCTCAGATGTTAGAAGGTGTCAATTGAGTTATTTTTCATCAGATTTGTGTTGATCTAGTTGATTTTCACATATATTAAAGTATATATCCGCTAGTAAATTATTTAATAGATAACTCCATAAAATAGCGTTTTTAGACAAAACAATACTCCCCAACGATCGGCAATAATGTTTAGCACGTACAAAAAGATAATTCTGAAAACGGATAACTCTAAACTTATCAACTAACCAGTAGGAAGATTGGTAAACAAGTAACTAGCATATAATAATGTTAATATCAGATAAACATTAGTTTATCGCCTATAGAAATCATCGATATGAAATAAGGGTGATTTACTCTATTTGCTCAACGGTAGGATCCCCAAGATTTATCAATGACCGAGCCAAAACTTCCGGCCTACTCCTGTTGCCCTTCCATTTTAGATGAAATTTATGTATTGAAGATATATAATAACTAACACCTCTTAGAAATTAGGTTTCAAACCTCATTTGGGTTGGTTGTATAGAAGAGAGAATCTCATCAATGGTGTTCTCAACATTGTCAGGATCAAGAACATTCTTACCAGCTGCTGCGCGTTGTGGAACATTACGGACGTTGAGAGAAGAGACATGTGGAGGAGGCTCGGTTGCTTGCTTGTCTGCGGCTGCATCTTTAGCAGAATATCGAGCTGATTCCACCAAAATATTGGGATTTTGCGAAATCCAAGCTGTAACACCTTTGATGATACGGTCATCCATAGCACCTAGTTTGAAATCCAACAAGCACGATAGAGTTGCAAGGGTGCATGTGCCAGTTAGACCACTAGCTGGGCCTGAAGAGTAATGTTGGTTAATACTGCGCGTAGGTTGGCTAGGTGGAAGATTCTGACCCTTCCTGGGACGTATAATTCTAGCCTTAACACCCCTTTTCTACTTCTTCAGGGCCAACTCAAGCTCAGATGGTATACAACCACCAGTAAACAAGTAGTTACCGAATAAAAAACCCTTTGCCGCAAGCGCAACAATGTTATCAACTGTCGGATCTTCCGAATCATCTTCCCAAGTCAAATCCTCTTCATGCTCCAACTCGAGATAAGGGCATATTATTGGGTCAACAAGTAACTGTATATGGGATAAGTGGGAAGGGATAAATATATTTTTACCAGATAATTGTATAGATAGGCCGATAACAAAATAGTTAAAGGATATTAAGAACTTCACTACACTAACCTCGCAATGCCATCTAAACGTTTAACGTTGACTATGTTAAATGGGACAGAGGAACGCTGGCCGACATCAGCAATAGGCCCTCCATCAGAATTGCTACAGTCCGGCTCCTCAGACGGGGATCATTCTTAAATGGACGAAGCGGCTTGGAGAATCACTAGTTGTAAAGCGTATAAAAGACCTTGGACAGGAACACAAGTTGTAGCCAATTGCTCAACATCTCTTTCCTTGATAGACTTCATCATCATCTCAAATGATAGACGCCCCCAAAAATATGCAAGGAAAAAATTAATATCTTTAGCCATTTCAACGTGATCCTTAACAATTTTGGGATAGTGAGAAGTGGGGACCAGGAAACCATCCACCAGAGCCAAACAAGCATATATTCGGCACATGTATTTATCCTCAACAATTTTGTTATTCAGCACAGTAATGACCCGGTCCACCGCCACGTCCTCCTCCAACCCGAAAAGCGTACTGTAAAAGGGGATTTTTAGACGGTTGTGCCTTTCCGCTTACTCTTCTATATATTTGGAAACCGGCCGCAAGGCAAACCGGTCACAATCTTGAACTCTCGTAGCGAGAAACGCACAGTAGTTCCCCCAAATATGACCCTTATTGCGTACGGCTTACACACCTCAAGCTGTCGGGACAGGAGGAAAAGACCAAAGGAAGCGGACCAGGCCGGCTTATTTGGGAACTCTAACAAACTGCCAAGCGACGTTTTACTTAACCACTCCCGCTCTTCTTCATCAAGAGCATCAAAAATCATGGACAGGGTCTTCATTTTATTGTAGACATTTACCCTTTCCCCCAATGATTCTTCTCCAAAGGCAATGATACGGTTGGGAAGATCTAGATCCGTCATCTAACAATGGAAAGAATTATACAAGTAAGTCAACGACAAAGAATCAAATCAACATGAAACTAAATCTACTCGATTCCAAAAATTAACCGTCTTTAGAAATTTCGCAATAAGAACGAGGAGAAAAAGGAGGATGAGATCTGTTGGTAGTTGAGAATTCTCTACAAAGGGGATAAGAAAAAAGAAACAATCGGTGGTGGGTGAGGACTCTCGGCAGAGAGGAGAAGTAGAATAACAAGCAAAATCCAAATTTTTAAAAGGACAACGAAGAGACGCGACTGTTAATAACGAGAGTTGTATGTGCGACGATTGAGACGTAAATATCTTCATCACTTTTTATTTTCTCGAGAACAAAATCAAAAAGATAGATTTGTTCCGTATTCAGTTATAGAGTTAATGAGCTACCCTATTACACATAGATGTAGGGAGACTATTGTCCGAAAAGTTAGAAGCTAAATAAAGTTTTATGGGAGATGGAAATTTAATTTTTTTTTATTTGGATACACGCATTGTAGTTTCCCTTAAGGGCTCACCTATATATTTATCATATTCTTTGACAAAAGAAATCTATATATATACATATATCATATATATCGCTTTAAAATATATAAATGCAAACAAGAGTTATAGAAGTGGTAAAACAATCTACTATGCCACATTTAATTAGGAGTATACAACCCCATCGCATCGATGGTCCCTTGTTTAGCTATATGTTTGTTCCCATATTTTTTTAATGTCGACGATACATAGCCCCAAATATATATTTAGGCTGTTGACACGAAAAAAAAGAATAATTAATATATTCTTTTTACATTCATGCCTTATCTAGGCGTGTCAAAATAAGCCAGTTCGCTCAGCTCGGCTGAGATCATGACGAGCTCGATTATTTCATGAGCCAACTCAGCTCAGCTTATTTATCATATGAGATTCAATATTTAAACTCGAACTCAGATCATGTTGATCACGAGTTAAATGAGCAAGCTTGCGAGCTAATATAAACAACTGTTATAATAATTATAATTCAAACTTTATAAAAAAAATCATAATAAATCCAATTTATCCAAATATGTGTGCATACGTGTCAAAATGAGCCAGCTCGCTCAGCTCGGCTCAGATCATGACGAGCTCGGATATTTTATGAGCCAGCTCAGCTCAGCTCATTTATTATATGAGCTTCAATATGTAAACTCGAACTCAGATCATGTTGATCACGAGTTAGATGAGCAAACTCGCGAGCTAATATAAACAAATATTATAATGGCAATAATTCAAGTTTTATTAAAAAAATCATAATAAAACCGATAACATAATGCAAAAATTAAACATTAAAACTAAATCGAAATAAAATAAATTTTAGTTCTCAAACCGTAAATAAAACCAACTACTAAAAGTTAAAATTTAAATTAAAATTAATTAAAAATAATAGAATGCTAAAAAAAACTATTCCGGGTGAGAGTTTTGTTCTTGAGATGATCCAAGAGCAACATCTTCATCGTCTTCATCTGCAAGTAAATTTTAAAAATTAAAACTTGTATATACAGTTCATGCTAAGATATAGGCTAGCAAAAAACAATGGTCGTCCGTTGTAAAGCCAAACAACCAATTTTGTTTTATTATGATTTTCCATTAAGATTTTCTATTTTGTTTATTTAATGGAAAAAATATATTACAAATATTCTATTTATTGTAATATATATATATATATATATATATATAATATATAATATTTAGTTTTAAAAAAAGTGGAGCTCATGATCTAGCTCATATTCATTAAAGCTCGCTCATATAACTCGCGAGCTACGGCTCATTTTGACACCTCTAATTTTGACACCCCTAGCCTTATCTTACAATTTTAGTTTTTACTACTTTCATAAAACTAAAGAAACATTAATTTGCTGATTTGATAAAGTTTAGAAAAAAAACTATGATAAGATAACTTAGTTTTTTAGACAATAAGTATTCTGATTGTTTTCTGAATGCTATTTAAATTTTGAGTTTCTAGGATATTTTATGTTCCATAAATTTTAAGTTATCCAGAATTAATTTGTGGTCGCCAATATAGTTAAGATGATAACATTTTTTTATAAAGAAAACACAACTTTAAAAATAGAATGAGAGGAGGCAGATTCTCAACATTTTATCCAAAATCTTTGAAATGGGAACACTGAATAAACTTCTCAACATTTTGGATATCGACAAAAGATAATAATTTTCTTTAAGAACAAATCTGACCAAAAAACAAAAGTCATTTGAAGTTGTCAAAAAAAAAACAAAAAGAGAGTTATAATGATGACACGTGAATATAAAATGACGATTTGGTCGTAAAGAGAGTACTCTTTACTATATATTATTAGCTATATCCCATTTGAAACTCCTAACTCAATTTCACCAATGACGCTACACATCACTGAGACACTCCGAGTCACCCCCGCCGCCGACTCAGACTCTGTTCTCAACTCAGCCAACTCGTTCTCCCTACCTTTAACTTTCTTTGACCTACCATGGCTACTCTTTCACCCTGTTAAACGAGTCTTCTTCTACAAACTCAAAGACTCGACTCGTGAGTACTTCAACTCCATCATCCTCCCTAAACTCAAGCTCTCTCTCTCCCTTGTCCTTAGCAGCTACCTCCCCTCTCACTGGCCACATCACATGGAACATAAACGAACCCAAACCGAGCATCGTGGTCGGTCCAAACGACGACGTTTTGGTGACTATAGCTGAGAGTGAAGCTGACTTTTCTAACCTTTCCGGTTATGGACAACGTCATCTCTCCGAGTTACATGCCTTGCTTCCCAAGTTACCAGTTACTAATGACTCAGCCACTGCTTTCTCTGTACAAATCACGTTGTTCCCGAACCAAGGTTTCTCCATCGGCGTTGCAGCACACCACGCCGTTTTAGACGGGAAAACGTCAAGCACTTTCATCAAAACTTGGGCTCACGTTTGCAAACAACAACTTGAGAACATCCCGGAGAATCTAGTTCCATCTTTTGACCGGTCGTTGATAAAAGATCCGACAGGACTCGACGACAAGATGATAGACATGGTGAGATCTCTCAAACAGGACAAAACCAAAGTTGTCTTAAGCTTGACTCCGTTTCCCGCAAAAGAACTTGGAGACGACGTCGTCTTGGAGACTCTTGTGCTCTCTAAGGATGACGTAGAGAGACTTAAGGAACGAGTCAAGAACGTGTCACCGAGCCTTCATTTGTCTACTTTTGTCATTGCCTACGCTTACACGTGGACATGTTACGTGAAGGCACGTGGAGGAGATGTAGATAGATCAGTGAGTTTACTCTTCGTAGGAGATTTTAGAAAACGTTTGGAGCCAAAACTTCCGGCGACTTACTTCGGAAACTGCATGTTTCCGGTGGGTTGTTATAACCGTAAGGCGGCAGAGTTTATGGACGAGAAAGGGTTTGTTACGGCGGTTGAGATACTTAGTGATTTGGTCAAAGGGTTGACTTCAAGAAAGATAGAGACTATAGCTGACTCTTTTGTGGAAGGGTTTGATTATCAGAGTTGGAGCACACAGTTTGGGACGATAGCCGGGTCGACCCGGTTAGGAGTATACGAGGCGGATTTCGGGTGGGGAAGACCCGTTAAGGTTGATATTGTCTCCATTGACCAAGGAGAGGCTATCTCGATGGCAGAGCGACGTGATGAAACGGGTGGCGTGGAGATTGGAATGTGTCTTAAAAAGTCAGAGATGGACATGGTCGTGTCATATTTCAACATTAGTTTACAAAACTAAACCTTTTTTTGTTTTGGTTTGTGTAATGTTTAATAATAAGGTAAAGCATGGTCACAAGAAAATTGTTGGTCATAGCTTGAATGAAAAAGAAATTGTGTTTGGTTTGATTTCTAGAACATCGTGTAATTCTAGCATGACCAAAACTATATGTCATCATATCATATGATTCATATGGTATCCAATACTCTAAACATGAGAAAAGAAAAATATATTATTAATACTTAGTGAATTATGATAAATTGATGTAGTAAAGAAAACAAAAGAGTTTATGAAGAGTTGTATTAGACTCTCATAAATATAATGTTACAACTTAACCGCTGAGAAGATAAAGCGAAGTTATGTAAATAAAAATATATTATTCTAGAATATATATTAGATATTGGTTATCAGAACCAGTTATTTCTGGTTTATGACTTTGGTTTAGCTTAGTATTAGAAGTGTATAAATACTTTGTATACACTTTATTTTACACTTAAGCTTTGTAATACTCTTTTAACTTCATTAATAAAGTTTGTTACGAGCTTCACTCTCCTTCTTCACCTCTCTTCTCAATGTTAACATTTCGGTGTATCAGAAACTTCAATATGGTATCAGAGCTGTGCAATTGATCTTCCGGTTTCTCTGGTATCATTGGATCTTTGATTAGAGGTTGAATCTATGAAGATGAGTTGTCTTGTTTCTTTCTTGATTTTGATTTTCCAGATTCTTGTTCTTCTTTGTGAGCTGTTCATCGGCGTTTTCTCTTGTTTCATCTTTCTTCTTTTCTTTGTTTCTCTTTGATTGACCTTATGTGTGTTTGATTTTGTTTCGATCTCTTCTCGATACACACATTTTCTTTTCTTCATTGTTACTTTCTTGAAAGAATGGGTTCGCAAGTACCTCTGGTGAATCGCACACAAGATCCGCCGCGATTTCAGACGGATCAATATGAGAATCCATTTTACTTGAATAGTAATGATCATGCGTGATTATTTTTGGTCTCGGATCGTCTTACTACAGCATCGAACTTTCATTCTTGGAAACGATCGATTTGGATGGCGTTAAATGTGCGTAATAAGCTTGGTTTTGTCAATGGTGCGATACCCAAACCACCAGATGATCATCCTGATTCAGGTACTTGGTCGAGATGCAATGATACTGTGAGTACTTGGCTGTTGAACTCGGTTGATAACTCAATTGGAAAAATTTTATTGTATATCTCTACTGTTGGGGGAATGTGGAAGAGTTTAATGACTAGGTTCAAGCAAGATGATGCTCCTAGGATCTTTGATATTGAATAACGTCTGAGTAAGATTGAGCAGGGATCTTTAGATGTATCTGCTTATTATACAACGTTGATTTCACTTTGGGAAGAGTACAAGAATTATATGGAGCTTCATGTTTGTACATGTGGTCGCTGTGAGTGTGATGCATCTGTTAAATGGGAGAAATTACAACAATGGAGTCGTGTTACCAAGTTTTTGATGGGCTTGAATGAAGGTTAATGTCAGATTAGATTACATATTCTGATGTTAAAGGCAATTCGAACAATAGAAGAGGCATTCCATATGGCTACTCAGGATGAAAGACAGAGAACTATTAAGGCTTCTTCTCGGATTGATAATGTGGCTTTCCAGACTAATCAGACACCTTTGGTTATGAGGATGAGAATGCTTATATTGCTGCATACAACACTGTTAGACCAACTCAGAAACCAGTTTGCACTCACTATGGTAAATTGGGGCATACTATTCAGAAATGTTTTAAGTTGCATGGGTTTCCTCCTGGCTACAAAATTGGTGGATAAAATCCTGGAGCTGCTCAGTCTCAGCCACCTATTCAGGCAAGGATGCCAACACCTCAACTTCAACCAAGGATTCCCCAAATGCAACCAAGGATGCAGATGCAAATGGTTCCTTATGATTCAATACATAGGGCAAATGATGTTGCAAATGTTTATGCAGAACAATCTTTTTATGCTCCTCTTGGTTATAATCAGTATGTTGCTCCATCATACTCATCTCCACAATATGTTCTTGATGTTGCTTCTACTTCTGGCTCGAATATGATCGGCTCAAATTTTCCCTGAGCTACTCTCTCAATTAAGAGATCACTGTAGTACTTAGGGATCGAATCCACATAGACTCAAAGATTACACAATAAATATTCGGTATTAAATTAAGCTAAGCAAGCAGGTTTTTAAATTAAATGAAATAGCAAATTAAATTAACGATTGGTTTTTAAACGATAATGAGGAAACGCTAGACCTAGGAATATTCTCAGGAAATTCAGAATTGCAAATAAATAATTGTCAGGATTTATTAAAGCACCGTTCTTGAACTCAAATCACAAAAACATAATCAATCAACTTTCGTTGCAAAGACTATCTATGTCTAGAACCCTAAATTCCAACTCTCTTTGCAAATTTATAAGTTTAAGACATGCATTTAATTCAGGTTTGATAAGTTCACAAAATCCCTAAACCAAATCTCTTTGCGAATAGGTATTTTGCTCATCTAGATTATTTTCATGAAATCAATAACACTTTCGTGTCTACTAATTAACCTAAGATCAGATTCTAGGTTGGTTTCACTACTCTAGAATAAATTAACCACAATCTAGATGAAGAACTCTATTGATTCAATCCTAACAATCTAACAACCTAACAATTCATGAATTCCTTTGAAAACCCTAAACCTAACAAGAGATCTACTCAGACATGGTGAATGAAACAAACATCATGAATAAAATAGATATCATAAAAGAAATCAATAGCAGAAGTAAATGAGTTTTGAATCTTCTCTGAAAGAGGTTTTGATTCTCCTCTCCTGACTCTCTACAAATCTCTCTCTCCAAAATAAAGCTTCGGTCTTAACAAAACCCTAAAAACTCAATATATATGTCTTAACCATGAACTGGGCTTAATTGCATATAAGGGAAACTTTTGGCCTGAATCTGCAAATCTTCTGAACTTCAATTAAGCGAGAACTTCAATTGCCGTCAGATATAGGTGTCGATCGACACCAGAGGTTGTGACGCTCGACACTCACACCAAATATGCTCTCCCGTTACGTTCCTTCGGCACATCTTCTCCAAATGCTCCCAAATGCTCCAAAAAGCTCCAATCCTGAAATGACTCAAAAAGACTCGAAAACACTATAAAAGCTCTATAAATAAGACTTATATCATGGCCAAAAACACGTAAAAACCATGATATATCAGAATAATGGTACAATACAGCAACAAGAATATCAACCACAACAGATACAACAGCTCATTTCTCAGTTTAATACCCAAGTTCAAGTTCCAGAGCCTACTACTGTTACTGAACATGGTTTCATGGCTGCTAATTCTACTTTGGGTATCATTTCCTTTCCCACTACTAACCTTACTTTCCAATATGATAAATTTTCTTCAAAAATCATGGTCTTTCTACCTTAGAGAAATTTCTGCCTAGTGATGCTTGGATTATAGATAATGGTGCTTCTATCAATGTTTAGGGAATTAGTACATGTTTCTAGTATCACAGTTACTTTACCAAATGGTGTTAGGGTCCCTATTACACACACATGCACTATATGCATCGCACATTCATTGATATTACATCATGTTTTACATGTTCTAGATTTTAAATTTAACTTGATTAGTGTTAGTTGTTTAGCCAAAACTTTATTCTGTTCTGCTCATTTCTTTCCAAATTGTTGTTTGATTCAAGAACTTTCTGAGGGCTTGATGATTGGGAGGGGTAGACTATACAACAATTTATACATTCTTGAACAAGAACATAAGTCCCTCTCACCATCACTCACTGCAGTGTGTTCTGTTTCTGATTAATTGATGACAAATGGTGTTCTATGGCATCAAAGATTGGGACATCCATCATGTAAAGTTATGCAAAAATTAGTTAGTGTATTACCTATTCATAAATCTTTTAATTCTGATGTTTCCTGAGTGTCAAATATGTCCATTAGCTAAGCAAAAACGGCTAGCATATATTTCTCATAATAATCTAGCTTCTAAACCTTTTGAACTTTTTCATTTAGATATATGGGGTCATGTTAGTGTTGAGTATGTTAAAGGTTTTAGATATTTTCTTACAATAGTTGATGATTGTACTCGGGTTACTTGGGTTTACATGTTAAGAAATAAAAGTGAAGTTTCAAAGGTCTTTCCTGTTTTCATTAAACTTGGTTCTACACAATATAATGCAAAGATTAAAGGTATTAGATCTGATAATGCACATGAATTAGCATTTACTGATATTGTTAAAGAACATGGCATGGTGCATCATTTTTCATGTCCTTACACTCCTCAACAAAACTCTTTGGTTGAAGGAAGCACCAACATTTGTTAAATGTGGCTAGATCTCTTTTATTTGAATCAAACATACCTTTGCCATATTGGAGTGATTGCATTATGACTGCTGTTTTTCTTATAAATAGGTTACCTTCACCATTGTTAAATCATAAGTCTCCTTTTGAGTTACTTTGTCATAAAAACCAGATTATTCTCTTTTAAAAGCTTTTGGTTGTCTCTGTTTTATTTCTATACATGTGCATACTTGAATAAATTCACACCTAGAACCAAACCATGTGTTTTCTTAGGATAAACTTCTCGTTACAAAGGATATAAGGTGCTCGATTTAGAATGTCATTCTGTTTCTATTTCTCGCAATATTGTTTTTCATGAAATGTCTTTTCCTTTTAAAACTACTGAATACTTGCATAAGTCTGTTGATATGTTTCCTAATAGCATCTTACCAATGTCTGCACCTTTACAATTTGTTGATTCTTTGTCAATGTTTGACGATAATGATGATGACATTGCACATCTCATATAGATATAAATGCATCATCTTCTACACCAATAGTTCCTAGTAACATTCACACTGATAATATTGTTGATACACATGGAATAGATAATGATTCAGTAATTGTTGCTAGGCCTAAATGTAATGCTAAAGCACCTAGCTATCTGTCTCAGTATCATTGTTCTTTAGCTATTTCTTCTCAGTTTCCCGTTCTAACCGTTTCTTGTTCTTCTTCTACTCCACCTTCCCCTAAACATAAAACCAATAAACCCCATGAAAAGACCCGACCCGTTTTTTTAAAATTCATTAATTAATAGT